AGCAGGAAGCACAGTTACTAATAACTTTAACAATGGCTGTGTTTTCATTTATCAGCCAGTTTCAGCGTCCTGGTACTGCACACGCTGGTTTACTGGCATACTTGCATTGAATGGAGCGATGATTAACAGGCTACTGTTGTGCTTTATCTGCTGTGACACATCACATCCAGTCAGTCACTCTGTTCGCTGTCCCTACTGTATTGTTTCTGCACATCAGTTTCTAAATTGATCCCCAGTATATACAAGTTTTCACTGAATGTATAGGTCGCAGAGGAGCCGGCGCGCACACACCATCCAAATCCCGACGAAGCGTTGTTTGGAACTGCTCATCGGTTGATTCAAGTCCTGTTGGGAGGTGGGTTCGAAAATGAACAAATGTGAATGTGAAACCGCCGTCCAAACGTCTGTGACTGACTGCTGTGTATGTTCACCTACATGCAGCCCGGAGAGGCGTCGTTCCAGCTCGGGGAGGAGACTACAAAACTTTTCACAGTCCAAGGGGGTTGGTTTGAAAGACACTTGCATTTACCAGGCGTAAGTAGGTTTAACTAAAAGACTAAATCAAATTGCATTATGGGAAGTGGATCCACCACTTTTGGAGTTTGTAAATCGGGATATCTTGGCTTGTGCTGCATCAACTGTGAATGTTCTTTTTTTAAATCTGTCTCTCACATGTAATATTAAATTGATGGGTAAGCCCTTTAAGAAGTGATAAGTCAGCAGACATGCTTATTTATATAAGTTGAAAATATGGCCTGATGGTGCTACATTAATAAATGTCAATCCTCTTTTTGCCAGATGATTTCATTCCAGTCCCTCACGTTTGTCCTGGAAACATTTTGGCCACAAACAAACAAAAGGCAATGACATCACCTCCTCTCCTCGGCGGAGGAGCTGAACACCGCAGCGAGCTCCGGCCCCGCACATCCTTAACCTCTGCATGTCTTTTTAAGTTGTGTGAGAGTAAGAGAACACGGGACGATGGCAAAACCCTCTGCTCCTGTTTGTTGTATCAGTGCTCGGTGCAGGATGTGGCAGAGCTTTAACTGATGCAAATGAAAACCATGTGTAACCTATATAGCCGCTCACCAGTTCCCCCTAAGAAATGCAGCTTTCCACCATCCCACATCCTTGTTACCAGGCAGAGCGCAACACCAACTGTTCATCATTCTCTTTTTCTTTCCCTTTTTTTCTTTTTTATGGGAAGGTTACTCGGTCTTCTCTCTGAGGTTGGTCCTGCAATTACTGTATTATATTCGTTTTGGCCATTACGAGACACAATAGCCAAGAGCAGGACTTCCCCTATTGGGAAGTTTCCATTCATCAGCCTGCAGGCTACACACATACCAACTGAAACAGGCACAGGAAGTGTCCAGCACAGAGAAAAGACAAGAAACATAAAAGGAGCTAGCTAATGATGTTTGGTGAGTAGAATTTAACTTAGAGAGATAAAAATGTTGAGAATAGCTGATGTGAGTGTATGTTTGTATCCCAGACTTTGTAAACAAGAGGATACACAAAAGTAGCACTGGAAATCAGGACTAGAAAATGACCATTTCAGTTATCTGGGTGAAATGTGAGAGCCAGAGGAGTGGAGATGGCTGGAAGAGGCTGGAACATGGTGGTGTAGTCCTTTGTTGGACTTTGTAAAAAAAAAAAAAAAAAAGAAGTGAGTCATTTCGCAGACAGTGAAGAAAAGCTCTCCAGTTACACACAGAGAAGAGAAAAGAGAGGACTGTGGGGAGGAATTATGCTGAGGCGATTCTTTTTTTTCTTTCTTTTTTTTTTTCACTCTGCAGAATCAGCTGTGGGAGACAGAAAACATCAAGTTGTGACCCACAGCTAAATTTCTGACTTGTGTGCAGGTCACAGAAACGAGTGGAGCGAGGAAAAACATCGTGCACACACACACAGACGCGCACTGAAAGCTGCCGAGGACAGAGAAAACTCACGGTTCTTTCTTTACGCATCCTTTTCATTGGGACCCTCGATATATAGTTGAAAAGCCAATTAAACAGATCCAAACCGACTCCCATCCCCCACCCGCTCATTGCCATGTCCTGCTGTTTGTCTGGCCCACATGATGCAGTTGGAATTCCAGATGTTGCTCATGGAATTCTGCTCCATCTCTGGCCTCCAAATGTGACTTAACCCTCCTCACTCCTCCTTCATCTACTCCTCCTCCCTCCACTCGCCCCCCCACCCCCACCCCCCCGAAAAATCCTCGTGACTCCTCTCCCCAACCCCCTGCTCTTCAAAACACTGCAGCAAAGTGGAGACAAATGGGCGCCCTAAATCTTTTCGGCACAATAGGAAAATACCTCATCATTTTAATTGCATAAAGTCCCATTGCAGTAATCATAACATATCATAGAGACGCTGACCCCCACCCACTCGCTTTCTCTCGCAGTCAGTCATCTTTACAGTGGGCCTAATGTCTGTATGGCAGTTGTTCATTAGTGGGATCATTAAGGAGTGGGGAGACGCCTAGGTTTTCTGTTCTAGCTTTTATTGGCTCATGGTGGATGGGAGTGAACACATACACGGTGCATAATGCACAAATAAAAGCATTTATAGCTGTGCAAAACATGCATGAGAGCATGTTTGTATTACCATACTTGTGAGGACCTGCATTGACCACATTCAGCCACTGACCCCATGATGATATCTAAAATCTCTCCACTGTTTATCTAAATCCTAAATCCCAAACTCTCACCCTCGAAGAAAAGGTGTCCTCGCTTTGCATGATTTTCCCTCATCGTCCTTCTCTCTGGTCCTCATAAGTATGGACACACAAGAACACACACACACACACTTTCACTCCTTAGCCGTATAGCTGAGATATGTTTTCCTGCTGTGCAGCAATGGCTTTACACAATCGTCTTCATCCCTGTTTCTACTTAAGCTTTGGATCCAGTCCGTGTTTTCCGACCCAGTTTCTGGCCTGCCAGTTTCCGAGCCCCAGTAACACAGAGTGGTGCGGTCGGGGAGCAAGAAAGCTGGAGGTCCAGGAAGACTGGGGAAGACCAGATTGAGGAGTGATGTGATCAATATGAGTGGTAAAGGAGAAGAGTCTAGGTGAGAGCTGATTATTTGAGAGCAGTTAGTCCTAAGTTTAAATATTACTGCATTAAAGGAAGCAAATGACACCAGCAGTTAAAGGTCCCATATTTTACACTTTGCTGCAGTTTTGTTTGAAGTTTTGATATCTGTAATGAGACATATTTGTGGTTTTAAGAACCAAAAAGCATCTCAATATACTGTAGTTTTACAACTCCTCTCTCCCACTTCTCTCTGAAGCTCAAGCAAGAACAGGGAGTTTTGTGTCGGTCCCTGAGCCTCTCCTCTGATTGGCTGTCTGATGTCTGAGTGACGCACCAGGCCAACCTCAACCTTGTAGCCTACTACTGTAACTTGTTAAACTCACCAGTAAATGCAAATGACGATGTTCACTCGGCGCTGAAATGAGCCGAACATTACTATCCTTGGGAAGGTTGTGCAATGATATATTAGCTTCCTGACATCCAATGATTACGCAGCTGGCGTGCTAGGGCGGATGGCCGAGGGCAGTGACTGTATAACTGTGACATCACAAAATTACATTCGTCCCGGCAGCTCGTTTGAAGGCAGTTTTTTAATACATGGAATACGAGTGCGGTTTTTCATTTTTCCGCATTTCTCAGATTGAGCGTTATGATGCTTTTTCACAGTATTTATTTAACACCTCGACCTCCTTTATAATCAACAGACATGGGAATCTCACTTTTCTACAATATGGGACCTTTAAGAGAAAGATGGCAGAAAGAGAGAAGGATTAAGGAAATGGTTTACAAAGTGAAAATCAAAGCACAGAAAGCCTTTTGAAATTACTTTATTTTGTAAGAAAAGCTTAAAAGTATAAGTGAGTAAGGACACACACACACAATCTCATTGAGAAAAACTAGATCATTATCATTATTATCATCATCACTAGTATCATTATCATTGTCGTTAAACTACTTATAACCCCTGACTAGTAATGTAGCACCATGATTTGAAAACTGTAAACAAGTACAATGACAAAAAGGAGTCATTTTCAGATCGTCAATTTATTTTCATTTGAGATGGATTCAAGGTAAAAAAAAACAATCAAGTTTCAAGAATACATAACCCCCTTCCCCATTCACTGTCCCCACATATATAAAATTAAGGCCACTTTCAAAACTGTATGTCACTGTCCAGCAGGACTTTTTAATGACAATGTACAAAACACATTCTTTACACAGAGGACAACAACAATAATAGTAATAGTCATAATAATAATGACAACATCATTTATAATAATAATCAGCACTAGACATTGATATAAAAAAGGAAAAGACACAGTTGGATTTATTGTTTGACTCTGATACGAGCGCATCTCATGCTTCATAAGGAATAATGTTTTGTTTCCCTTTTATGGTCCATACTGGCTCTGACATGTTGCTTTACTGGAAGATTAAGAAACACAATGACTGTACCACTGTGGCTTCAAAATGTGTGTGTTTATGGGATTGCGTGCAAGTTTACGAGGGGGAAGAACGAACAAATCAAACACACTGTTTTGCTTACGCGAAGGAACATGCTAGAATGGGCGTCTTGATGATGCAGGTTCGAAGCGGAAATTCACAAGGGACACAAACACTGACCACTGACAAAAACTAAAAATAAGACATTGAAAAAGGCTAAACCAAACAGCAATGAGCTGGCGTCAGTTACCACGAGGAGAGAGGCAGAGAGAGAAGGGAGAGAAAAAAAATAAGTAAAACATGGAAGGATGGAGTGGTTGAGAGATAGAGCAAAAGGAATCTGGCAGTGGTAAAAATATTTTAAAATGCAAGTCTGGCGCTTTTTCCTTCTGCTCTTTCTCCTGTTTCACCTCTCTCTCTCTCCTGCTCTGTTATCTGTGTTTAACATTTCCTTCCAATTTTTTTTCTTCTTCTCTTTTTCTCTCCCCAGCTTTCACTCCCCTCCCCCCTCCCTTCCCTCCTCCTCCTCCGTCTACACCTTGTCCAGTAAAGATCGTTGGCAGTAGAGGAGTCGGCGTGGGGTACCGTACCGACGGAAAAACACCAAGGCTGCCAGCGTTGCAATCACACACACTAAGAGGAACAGCGGCACCACCACCGCCGCTGCCCCAGCTCCACCGCTTGCCCCTCCTTCCTCATCCACTTCAATAATGATCACCTCCGTATCCTTATCCTTGTCCGTCTCCGTCTCTCTCTCCCTTTCCCTCTCCCTCTCCCTCTCCCTCTCTCTCTCCCTCTCTCTGTCCCTCTCTCTATCTCTAGCTCTGTCCTTATCCTCCCGCTCCTTGTCTTTCTCCCTCTCCTTGTCCTTGTCGTGTCCGCCTCCGCCTCTTCCGCCATCGGTCTTGGGGTCTTCGTTGGGGCAGCCCATCCAGTCGCGAAGGGCTGATTTGGGGTATCCAGGCTCCACGCGCATCATCTGGTTGTTGAACTTCCAGTACTTGTTGGCTTTGTAGAAGTAGGTGTACGCTGACGGGTGGAAGAGAAACGTGAGAAATAAACCGGAAGTGAAAGAAGGAAGAAAAAAAAAAAAAGCAACTTCTACACGTATCGGCTCACACTAAGAAGTGAAAACATACCTTGATCTTTGCTCATGAAGGCTGCCTTGATGTTGTCAGGCACTCCCTGCCACACACTGACAGATTTCGGATAGCCATCGTCAACAGATCGTGAATCTTCGTTGAAACGGTAATACCTAAAATAAAGAATAAAAAAAGAGAGAGAGAGGGGAAAGGTAAAGAGAGCAACAGCTACGGTGAGTTTATGGTCACATTCAGATCCCCGAAAGACTGGACATGCACTTTGATTATAAAGACTCGAGACTTGACTTAAAGGACTTAAGGGTGGCTCTGACAAACTTAAGATTTTACTCTGTACGTCCCTCAAAGACTTTACTTGAAGCTTGAATTTGACTTGTCTCAAATGACGTGAGACCTGACAAGTTCGAGACATGACTTGGACTTACCTTCAAAGACTGACCTTAAAGACAGACTTGAAACCTGACTTGGAAACTTGGACTTGTCTCGATTAACTTAACACTCTTCCTAAAAGAATAATTACTTGACTTGACTCGGGCTTGTCTTGAACGACTTTAAACTTGACTCGAACTGGACTTGTTGTTGCCTTGAGACTTCTTTTGACAGACGTAAAACTTGACTTTGACTTGACCTAAAACATGTAACTTGAGACTTGTTCTGACAGAAGTGAGACTTGACTTGGATTCGTCCTAAGGAATTGTGACTTGACTTGAGATATGTTGTGACTGACTTGAAACCCGACCGGCTCTTCACCCCCAAAACTTAAAACACTGCTCCGAATCGCCGTGTGTGTTCCTGTTGGCTTGGCCGGCTACAAAATGGTCAGCCAAGAGTTTAAGTGTTGTTTACACAGAGGCAACACTTAAACTCCTCCAATAGGTCTGAAAAATCGAGGTGCCTTCATGGACTTTGTTTATATAGGTGGCTGTTTGCACTATGATAATCACTGACTGCTGCATCTTTTTTTATAACAATGACTACGGCTTAAATATAGGGAGGCGCAGCAAGCTATAAAGTTTAGTCAAGGTTTGTTTTCATGTTTAAATGAGAAGCAGGTTTTGTAACTCGGGGTAGGTGAGTGAGTCGGTGTGTTTGAACCTTATAAGGTCAACATTTAAACATACAGTATCTTTCGGTGAGCGTGACGCAAATGGATTTTCCTTGGAATCACTGCTTTATAAACATCAGAACAGTTTCTTCACGGCGTACACACACACACACACACACACACACATGTGCAATGAAGATGACTAACTTGTTTGCTCTGAAGAAGAATGTTTGTCCAGTTGGTGTGTAGTAGAGAGCAGAGTCTATTCGATCTCTGGGAAGTCCAGCGCCCATGTCCTTCAGATTCTTGGGGTAACCAGAATCCAGAATAGATTCGCTGAACACCCAGTACCTGTCCCCTGGAGAGACGGACGGACAGACAGAATGAGGCGGCGTGGGAACAAACGGACGCAGAAACAGAACCAGATGACGTATCTGCAAGACTTCGCCTGTTTGTCAATGACTATGACTTTGATGGGTCAGTATACTAAGGCCAGACTCACCTTTAAAGAAAACAAATTTCCCATCCTCCCTTTCAAAAGCAGTATTAATATGAGTGGGTAATCCCCTCCAGAAGTGACCAATCGGCATGGGGTATCCATCCAGCACGTGGTTGTTACGCACTCGCCAGAACCACTTATCCTGGAAGGGAAAGAGACAGAATTTAAAACCGTCCAACAGCCGAACTGTTACATCGAAGCTTCGGCCGTGTGAGGCGGGTTTACCTTGAACACAAACATTTCTCCTCTAAGGATGGCTATGGTGTCGAAGTGTCCGTCGCAGATGCTGGGGCCAAAGCGCGGCTTGTCCGGCGAATATGTGGGCTCCGGGTTGTAAGGCGAACGGGGTGTTACAGGAGGCGGCTGAGGGCCTGATCCAGACCCTATGTGAACAAGGACATAAGGAAGTTGTTTAGTTTTTAACATGCACTTACTGAAGTATCACAGTATCGCAGGGCTTTGGAGCAAAAGTCAGTTTACGTTTTGGACAATAATCAGTTTTTTACATGATTGGAAAGTTTTCTCATGTTTTATAATGAGATTTTTCGTTGTGTCACCAAAGCCCCTCAAGCTCAATACAACCAGAAAACAAAACAGATGAACAGCAACCTTTTCCGACAGCGGTTTGGACAATGACTTTGTTGATAACGTACCATAAAGTTGCTGTATGCCTCGGCGGTCGTCGTCAGGAAGTACGAAGTTTTCGGTGTCCATCCACTGGTAGAAAGGAGCCATGATGGCTGAAGGGTCATTGGAGTGCTCCAGACCCAGAGCGTGGCCCAGTTCATGCACCGCAACCAAGAATACATCATTTCCTGAAACAATATCAACCACAAAACATGATATAATGACCTTTTTTCTCTGGAAAATGAGCGTAAAGCAGGAGACGTGAAATAGAAAGGATTTTTATCCTTATGATTTACACAGCCGGAGTTTCCTCATTTTAAAGTGACTCAAAAGCACGCAATTACCTAAAAAAAATCTACCTTACCTAATAAAATGTGCAGCTGCAGGTCATGTGAAAATGTGTTTCTGACTCAAACAGCTGACACTGCAAAGCTGTGTGTTTTCAGCAATCCAGAAATAAACACTTCTCCATTTCTGCAATATCAACATCACCCGGGGGCGACTCACTCCCTTAAATGTACTTGAACGAGACTGGACGTGCCGCTGCCTGCGTTTCGCTTGGGACAGCAAAACAAACAGAACCTGACTCCCAACATGCAAAGTCACTCCCACCGTTTGAGCTTCTCCTGCGTTGTGTTTATCAGTTTCAACGCGGCCTTACCTGACAGATCCCGGTTTCCAATCGTCCACGGCTCAGCGGCGTCAAAGTGGGTGTCTCCACCGATGCCATTGCCGGGGAAGTAGGCGTGTGCCAGGAAGCCTCCCTCACCGTCGAACGGGCTGCTGTCGCCGTGGAAACCCTCGGCAAAGAAGATCATGATGTCGGCAAACTCCTCTACCTTGTCCCGTATGTAACTGTAGGGGATTTCCCGGAAATGGAGAGGGGTGATGCTCTCCCACACCTTGAAGGCCCTCCTGATGGCCTCATGGGTCTCGTACTCACCCACCTTTGGGGTGTAGTTCTGTATACTGGAGAGTGTTTACGAAAGGGGGTGGGGGGGGTAAAGAAAAGAGTAATTTTCACTTCATAGGAAAACATTTTCAGTTGCTCAATATAGTTTGGGTTTTCTGACATTGCATCACACTAATCATAGTGTAAGAATAGCTTCAAGTCCTATTCCCTCATGCCTCTGCAGATGCATCGCTGTTGACTCACGAGAAAGTGACTTCATTCTTGTTCCACTTCAGGCCCTGGATGGCGTATCGCTTCCTCCTCAGGTTGCTCTTCAGCTCAGCACCAAACTTGTCTGGCACTCCGCAGCGCGGCCGCCTCATGGCCCTGCCAGACACAAGACATAACTCCGCTCACAACAAGGTAAAATAAAAAAAAAGTAGCTTTTGTTAGTTTGAGCCAAGCTCCGTGCAGAGTGCAGCTGTTTGACGATGCTCACTCGACGGTCTTGTCATCGAAGGTGCCGGTGACGGTGAGGCCGTAGAACCTCTGCATGGCAGCGACGGCTGAGGAGACGGAGTGAGGGGAGCGGAGGGCGTGGGTCCTCAGGTCCCCCGGGGGCAGGTAACCATACTGCTGCAGCCATGACTGAGGAGCAAAGCAAAAAAAAAAAAAAAGGAGAAGCATTGCAAAATGAGTCAAAAGGAAACTCCAGTATGTAGAAAGAAAACAAGTTTAAATTAGAGACAGACACAAAAACGCTTCCTAAGTCACCTGATGTTTGTTGGTGATTCAGGATAAACCAACTGTCTGGTATGATGTTGACTATCAGATGCAGTGACAACAAGTTCAGGATGTTTTTTGCGCGCTCGCAGCAAAAAACACATTTCTCACTGACAGCGAAAATAAGCTCTTAAATAATGTCTCTCTGTGTTTTGCTGCCTTGTAGCCAGCGAGAGCAACATCAGTTTCAAGCACCTGGCACGTCTCCATTTAATGACTACACACAAAAGCTATTCAACCATCAACATTCGGCTCTCCAGCGAGCACCGTACTTAATTGAAGCTCAGGTCAACATGAAAGAACACTGCCAAGTTTAAGCCCCTAGAAAAACTTCAAACAAAGCCAGTTTAGGTTTCAATAAAAAACCAGAAACTGGAGGAGGAAATCCCCCTCACAGAGTTAAAGATTAACTTCAGTTTCAACATTGACGTTATCCTGTGGCCACTTGTTGCAGATTGTGATGGTTATAACTAAAGTCACTGAGTTTGTACATGATGAAAGCGTTTGTTTAAACCATTTTCGAGCACATATTACGATGGTCACCGAGTTCTTCGGTGATCCGGATCCCTCAGCCTCCGCTATGATTGACCTTACTTTCCCCTGGAAACCCATTTCGCTGCGGTGCTGGTTTGACATCTGGATCGGTGCCAGCGGCTTCGTGCCGCACCTCTCCCACACAGCTTCTCCTCAACTCTTTCCCTCTCGAACTAGAGCTGAAAAATAACACTGAGGCTATTGTGAGTGCAGTGAAAACTGAGACCACTTTGATATTCTGCTGCACACAGTCACTTTGTGAGCGTGTAATGCACTTTTAGGATGTGTTTTATTGTTTGGATACAGTATAAACTCGACCGATTAAAGTTTTTTAACAGTGACTTTTTTGGAGAGTGAGTTTTTTTTTTCCTTTGCACGGTAGAACTTGATGTGATCTATTATTATAATGATTCTACATTTTGTGTAGTTTGGAAAAGCCACAGTGGTAGAGGGTGTATGTGCTGAGAAGGCGAGTAAGAGAGAAGAGAGGAAGGTAGGGAGTGTCCCAGGGTGAGACTCAGGCCTTGGGCAACCTCAGCCAATGTCTCCAGTCAAGCAGCAGCGTCAGTCAGTAATTTAACTGGGAATTTCTTCCGAGTCGCATCCAAACCTCAAAGACAAACTCTTCCCCCACGTCCATGTCTCTGTCTTCGCCTCGTCACTCCTCCCCTTCTCTCTTCTCCTTCATCCCTCTCTTATGGAAAACCCAGAGACTTGAGGGTAAATACTTATGAACAACCACACCCAGAGCCACTAGATTATTCCTGTTTATCTGTTGCTAATAGTCACTGAATACAACGAAGGTAAAAACACGTCTCTTTTCCACTGAAGCAAACATAGATTATCTAAATACGTGCTCAGGTCTGTAGGTTTACGCCTGATGATACTTGCGTGAAAAAGCCCTGATGGTTATCCAGCCTTGCACTCGAGCTTGGGCAGCAGTGAATGGCAGCTCGGGAAGCTCTTGAAGGTCTAATCTCTCCCTCTCTGTCTTCTGGAGACATGGAGGTCTCAGTGTTTAGACTTCACCCCTGAATGAGCCCTTTCTGGTTCTGACTCACCCATGCAGCTCTCAGCGGACACATAAAGACTCACTGTTTGCCACTGTTACAGCACATCCACACAAGCGGGAAAGAGAGGAGCGGCGAGGAGGGAAAGATGGAGGCTAGTTACATCTAAAGGTTGTAATTAAGAGTCATAATGAGGCTCCTGCAGTTTGTGGGTCTTCTAATAATTATTAACGTCGGTTTCCCTCTCCTGAAGTTAAACTTTAGCGTCTCAGACCTGGATGTATTTCACTGTGAATATAAGAAAGGGGGTTTTTAAGGCCTGATTTGACACATTCACTTTGTTTTCTTTCGTACAGATTCCTCCCTCTGCCCTGAGCTCAGTCAAAAGGCTGCTGTTGAATGACACCGAACACTTGTTTTAACTATAAGGCCCCTCGCGCCTCTTTCACGAGTCCCTCAGGTGACTTGACAAAGTCTTATTCACCGTCACACTCGACTATTTTTGACCACACTAATGGGCTGAGTAACTAAAGCGGCAGCAGGAAGAGGAAATGGTCACTATTTACAGTGGCATAGGAGATGACTTCAAGCTTTTGATGTAGACCAGTGGTTCCCAGACGCCCCCCACACACACACACACACACACACACACACACACACACACACACACAGATGAACTCACGTGATTCATACTTATTCAGCTTTTCTAACCATCTCCACTGTTTAACCATTACATTTCCTTTTTTTATCCCTTACTTAGAGCTAACTAGTACAGCTGCTTATCCATCACTCTTGGCTAACTTTAATCCTCTGCTTGCTCGCTATTTTTCCGCACTTTTTGTTTTTTCACTTACAGCTGATATGAGAGATGTTGTTTTCATTCAATTCATTTCTCTGAATTAGTTGAGCTACACTAATGCTACCCTGCGTTAGCGCTGGGGTACAGAGTCTACGGTTGGGATGTAAGAGACTTTAAACTGCTGTATGGAAGCGTTTTTAGGGTCGAAGTCAGTCTTGATTTCTTGATTACGAGCAGTCGGACAGAGAGAAGCACAGAGCAAAGGGACTTTCAGTAAGTCCAACCCAGGATTTTGAGGTCAAGGGCGCAGCTCGCTCGTACGCGGCGGTGTGAGTTTATTGTTTAATGGAAGATCTACAGAGAATCAAACAGCGGTTGCTATGGATGTCAGTGGGCAGAGCGCTCATTTTACATAGGATGAGAAAAGGAGAAGGAGGGATTGCGTTTCAGAAAAGAAAGAGAGTCAGTTGTTCCGTTCGGTGAGGGCCAATGGAAAGAAACTCTGGTCAACAGCGATGGGAGTCCAACTGATGCATGCTGGGTATACAACACACACACACACACACACACACACACACACACACACACACACACACACAGCTCCTCATTACACATCCACTCACTCTGTCCAGAGAGCTGCACTATTATGTCAGATGATTCATAAACGTATGAAATTATAGCTCCCAATTCATTTGTAGCAGCAGTTATTGGCTGTTAGCGTGTGATTTCTGTGTGGTTGTGTGGTTGTGTGAGGGAGTTTGTGTGCGTAGGTACATTAAGTGCAACGCATTAAAACCAAACCTTTTTAACTCTTTCTCGCTGTAGGAACGTTTGCCTGAAGCTTGTGCTGTTCCTTTAGGAAGACATTTAGGACATCTCTAAACCTCCCCCCCGGCTCCTCAGCACACATCTAGAGCGTGTGTTTGTGTGTGTGTGTGTGTGTGTGTGTGTGTGTGTGTGTGTGTGTGTGTGTGTGAGTGTGAGTGTGAGTGTCTGTGTGTAATCCCCAGCTGCTGTCTATTAAAACAACCCCTCTCTGGCCAACAACAATAAGACCTGGTGAAACAAGAGTGGAAAAACACGCGTCTCTGCCAGTATCATTTGACTAATAAGTCAATCCCGAGCAAATCTCAATGACATGATTTTGTCTCTGGAAAAAAAAAAGAAAAAAAAAAGACATTTCTCTAAAATTTTGCTCCTCGCTTTCTTTATGTCGGAAATTAGGTAATGACTCTGTGTATTACCTTATTTCCTGTAACACCTCCTATCTTCCCTGGGGGACTTTGCCCTCAGGCCACCCACTGATGACCATCAGGATGTGGCTTTGTCTGTAAAGTACGCACCCCTCCTTCCATCCTTCCTCCTCCCCCCTCTCTCCCCCTTCCTCTAATTGACTAGTCAGACAACAAGATGGGACTTGTAAAGTTACCAGTTCAACCAATTCAGTTTTCTTCTTCCTGTCAGGAGCAGAAGAAGAGACATACATTCACACAGGATGTGTGCATGACGGCTATGATTCACACCCTGTCCCATTCAGCTGGTAATTCCTTCAGTTTCCGACTGTTCTTTTCCCAGATTGCATCATTCCCGTGGCCACAATGCCGTCCTTTCTAAGCATCAACAGCCTCCTCACTGTTCTCCCTGTCTCGCCTTCATCATCTCATGTCATGTCCATTTTTCTTGCTTTGTAGTCAGTGACCTCAGCTTGTAGCCATTCCCGTGTGCGTGTGCACAAGAGAAGATCTGTGGCCACACGGGAGAAGATGTGTGTGCGTGTAACAGGCAGGTGGCCGCTGACACACCAAGGTAAACCAGCTGCCCACTTCCTCTCTCCGCCGCAGACCACAGGAAGTGACCGACTGTTTATCTCATCGACACAGACACACTGACCAACATGCAACCACTCACTTAATTAGACTCGGTGTTAATTGAAGCACAAACATCCTACTCAGTAGCTGAGCTGCACCGACACTGGTGACTTTGTGGGTTTGTGGAGGCAACAATATGAGATCACGGACATCCGCAATCTGAATGAAGAAAATAAAGACAAAGGAAGCCGTGGTTTTTTAAGATGATCATAAAACAGAGGAGGTGAATCACTGAATAAATATTAACTTAATATAAACTCTCCACAGTTCTTCAGGCCAAACTTCCACTTCAACTGAAACTCATTCACCAGACAACACTTCCAGTTTCTCTTTTGAAGACATTACACATGCTGATGCTGCTGATGATATAAAATGTTTTATTTATATATATATATATATATATATATATATATGACTCAACCTATTTACAACGTCTAAAATAACTTGTAACTCATCTCCACGTTTCAGTTTCTACATTCAATTCACAGTTTTTAACTGTTACGCTCTGGAACAACCTTCTTTATTCTTAGGCTTCTCGCACTGGCCCCTTTTGTTGATATAAAAAATGGGTCAGACTTTGTTTAAAGTGCTACATCTGCACAACATGTTCAGTCTCATTTATGTTCTCCAGTGAAGCCTAGAAGCTGCGTAGCTTGCTCCATTAAATATTTTGAACTTGTACTGGAATTGGAACAAAGAGGAGTCGGGGCATTGCGAATTCAAGTGACGCCATGACGTTTGTTATTATAACATGAATTATGTTTATGTGGTTTCTTGCTCAAAAATCTTTGCCACAACTATGGGTCACAGCAGGAGATTAAAAATGCTTTTTATTGTGGAAAAACGTGCACTTTGTGTTACGTTATTCTCTAAGGATTAAATTATTATTGATTATTAACACTTCAAATTGTTGATTAAAGACATTCCTTGAAATCTGCTTACCAAGTAGCTAACAGCCACTACCTGGATTTACTGTATTAAAGTGGCTCTAACATACAGAATGTATTTTAACGTTTTAATTTACAGATAAAAATTTAAAAAGTATTTCTTAATTACTCTTTGGCCTGTTGTGCTCTGGTGTTTGTGTATTACTGATGTAAACAAACCTTTAACAGCACCAGAACATATTGATTGACATATATAAATGTCAGGTTGTGCTAGTTTGTGTAATAACATTTAAATGTGACGGCAGGTCCTGTGTTTTGACTTATGGCGGTGAGACGACTCTTCTGTTTACATTTTACAGATTGGGCTTTTAATTTGACGGTCTAATGTAGGTCAGCGGAGTTAGCTCAGCTTTCTTCCATTGGCACAGCTGGAAATATAATTCCATAGTGATGATTAGAGACGTTTGGCGCCACTGTGTGATCTCACGAAATCATTTAGGTCTCTCGACTCACACACACACACACACACACACACACACAGGGTGTTTACTAATGATGCTGAAGGAAACAGGTGTGTAGGGCTATCATAACAAAGTCACTTCCTGCGACATTAACGCAGAACTTCCTGACCCTGTAGTGACTGTGGGGATGGAGGATTTGCTGATGCTGCAGATAGAAAAGATCAGAATGTAACCAAAAAGAAAAAAGGAAAACATGAAAGTACAGAAAAGAGCAAATCAGAGCAAAAAAAAAAAAGAAAAAAAAAAGAAATCTAAGCTAAATCCTCTTTTATATTTAACACTACTTAGTCCTGGTGCTTCATCTTAGTGGGTTATCGAAAATCTTTAATGTACAGAACTAGAGTTCAAACTGTGGCGAGTGTTTTTCCACAGCTGCCCGTGGCTGAGATGCTGCAGAACCTCTCAGATTGTAAAACCCACCTCGCCCGAGTCCGCTGAGCCATAACTCAGGACAGATGTCAACAATTACATCTCCCCATCCCTCTGAATATATCTGTACCCACAACTCTCAACCCCCCTCCACCTCCAGTCCCACAAAAATTGCCTCTGTCTCTGTCTCTGCCCCGACCACAATACAAGCTCATGCATTTCTCCTCATTTGCGTTTTCTCTTGCTCCCCTTCTGCTTTTGCCCTCTCAGCATTTCTCAGTGTTTTCATGAGCGCTATCATCATTATGGGCTGCTTCCTCTAACCCAGGGTCAAATCCCTTCCCATGTTCCTGTGCCAACACCAGACAAATGTAGAAAATGATTCTCCATCCCGGATGCACAGTTTTAACTTATGGTGTACTGGTTTCGTTCAAGGTAAAACAAAACATAAGTACATCATTATGGGCAGGATCATGAAATACTAAATCTTCTGTCCAATTAGAGAATCTTTTATTCAAATTAGTAACAGGAAAGATCATTCAGTCTTACATATGGATACGAAGAATATATCTCAGTTTACTCATAAATTAACTATTCTATATCTTCTTAACTCTTATCCTACAGCTTTCTTACATTGTCCTTTATTTTGCTTTATTCTTCAAGTCTGGATTTATTTATCTTACTTTCTTCCTCATGTCTGGATTTATTTATCTTTATTCCTTTATTCAGGGTTTATTTATCTGGCTTTTACTCCTCTGTTCTGCATTTATTTATCTGACTTTATTGCTATAGATTTATTTACCCGTCTTGTGTTCATCAAATCTTGGTTTATTTGTCTGTCTTTAACCCAGTATTCTGGATTTATCCCTCACCTCTGGATTGACTTGTCGCTCTGTCTCTCCCTGTGCGCTCAGCTCCCACACCACCGCCAGCAGCAGCAGTAGGACAAGCGATTTCAGCTCCAGTGCCATCACTTGACTCTCCAAAAAACAGTAAAAAAAAAAAAACAAAAAAAAACAGATCTGTGTGGCAGATCTCCTCGTAACACTTCTCACAGTCTTCCCCTCGCTATTTGTCAAAACATTATCTGTGAAAACTTATCCCATAAACGAAAGTCCTTGGCGCAACCGAGACCGACTTGGCGCAAAGCGCAAAAAGTTTTCCCGAAGATGTGCAGCAGTGAGTCTCTGCAGCTTATTACTTGTTACTTAAACCACGATAGGTATTTGTCCGGTCTGTGCATTCTTCTCGCGCTTTGGTGAATTTTAACCAAATTATCGGACGTTGCTGGAAGCAGGAAGTCAGAGAGGGGGGCTCTGGAGCTGCAGGCTGTGCGTACTTAATGTCCAAATTCGGCTCGCGCTTTGCTCCAGATGTTGCAGCCGACTTTGTTTTCATGAAGCAGTCTTAACTCCTCGCTGTCCTCTCTCTGTCCTATCCTCCAGTCGGCTTATTTTGATCCCCTCTCCTCTTCCCTTCTCTCTCCCTGCTGCAGACGTGGTAGTTTGATACTCCCCGGAGACCTTTAGCTGGAAAGTAGAGGGTTGTAAACCTCCCCCTCCTAAATCAGCCCGCCCCTCTGACATGGAGGGCTGGAATCAACTTGGTGACCTTGGCATTAGACTTGGCACGGTTACCCCTTGTCCTTAGGCGATGATTAAATGCCTTAATGCTCCCTAAAATGCATGAAGATGTTAGTATTTACAGAGAAGAGAGTGCGCTCAATGACAAACTCCTCGACACATTATGTAGCTAAAACGATTTTGGACTCACATTTGAAGTTTCTATAGGAATATTTTTAAGATGTGGTAATTTTTTTAGGATTTATCAGTACAGTTAGGGTTAAGGAAAAAAGGGGAATTGCGCCCTCTAATGCACACATTGTGCATACATTTAAATAGTCACAAATCACAGGAGGCATACAAACTCTTTCATCCATGCCTTAGACTGGCTTTGTCTTTGCTGCTTCCTGCTCTCTTTAAGAGTAGAAACTTTGTTCTGTTTAGTGTTGGCTTGGTTTCAGATCGCAGCTGTAGACCGCCACGTGCACATGTCTAATCACTTCGTGTCATTTGTTCATGGTAATTCACATCACATAGACATCTGCTTGTGGGAAAGATGCCTAACGGCTCTATGTGCACACGTGCACACAGGACACAGGTTTACACACACAGAGTAAAAGTCTTTTAAAACTCAAACATTTCCTGTAACCTACGTTATATGCACGCGTCCTGCAGCTCAGCTGTTGTGCTGGCCACGGCTGAGGAAAGACAGCTGGCTTCCTCCACTCCCCTCGTCCTCTTGGTTGATGCCACACAAAAGAGGAGAGTTTCGATTGTCTTGGGAGGGATCGATGACATCTGCATGTTTGGGATCAAGGCAGTTGGGACCAGACGCAGCTGCCTGCAGGCATGCATGCTGCGTTCATGGAAAACCACCAGTTAATTGTCTTAAACGAGACAGAGCAAGACTTTCTTTCCAAATTGTTTTTTAATACGGATATATTGAATGTACAGCTTACAACAAACAGACATAGACTTCTGATATATATAGTAACTTAAAAGTTTTAGTAACTTTAGTAATTGAAAATAGTGTTACAGATAATACGTTTGGACCAAACAACAATCATAATATTCACAAAGCCGAAGGTCAAAGGTCACACAAAAGACCATGTCCTCACTGGGTTCACAAACACTGCAGTTGTGCTTCTGGTTTGACAGGACAATATAGTGGAAAGTAAACCACAATGACATGAGCAAGTAGTTTATCTGAATCACAGGATGGGGGACAAAAGACGTACTATTCCCCACAGAAAAACATTTATATTGTTGGCCTGGTTTGCCCCTTCAATGCGCAATTTAGTTTTGCTTAGCTAATTTCTTCTCTCTGTAACTGAAGGAAAGAATCCGCTAGAGGTGAACCGAACCTAGGTCGTAGCATTTGCAAAGAAATTTTCTTTTGGTTAGCTTGAGCCTCCTTTGGTGCCATTTGGATCAGATTTGGTGCATGGCACAACACATGAGTACGGATGACACAAAATGACATAAAATTATTTAAAACTATTCTTTCAGTATACCTTGTGGTGACTCATTAACAAGCATCAGAATTGTTCAAATGCGGTAAACGTTTCCCAGCTGGGCCTGGTGGTAAGTTCAAACAATTACTGTGAATTATTTGGCCCATGTCTGGTATGAAACACTAATACAACAGGAAAACTCTTTCTTCATATCCAAACATAGATTAGATTAGACTGTGCTTCAAACTATTAAGGACTTCAGCCAGACAAAGGTAGTGTCACTTTTTTTTTTTTTTAACAAATCCAGCCATGACTAGACTCACTTTGTTACTTGTTGAATATTTTTATCTGTATTTGTACAATAGCTGTCTCTTTTTTTTAACACAAGACCAAGCTGATTGACTCACAACTTTCACATACAAACATAATTACTCTATCAAACTGACGGGCTACTTGAAATGTGTTAAGGAAGCAGTACTACGCAAAAGTCCAAACAGCTTCACCAAAAGGTAAACATTGATTGAAAACACCAAAACATCATCCAGCCAATCACGTGGACTTGAGTTACGACCCTTCACTGGACTCTTCCCCGGCTTCGGAAACTCTCGGATCCGTCTGAGATCGAACGGGTGACTTTGCCGACTCATTCTCTCCATGGGGTCCAGAAGGCGGGTCGTCGTTTGGCTCGTTACTGGTGTTCAGGAAGGCTTGGTACTGGTTCCAGAAGCCCGCTGAGCTCCTGGTGGCAGGAATGTTCAAGGAAGTCATAGATGTGGAAGAAGGAAGTTGGTCAGCAGAGGAACGGCTACTCCGGGCTGGCGGACGTGATGTTTTGGTTACTATGCCATGGTGCTTCATGTGGCCCTGAGGATTAAAAGTATTCTATTCATCATCCAGATCATATTAGGATAAAGGTTAGGAAAGCTATAACTATCAAACATCCCCAAATATAACGTACTGTTGCGTAAAATCCATGGGTATATTAGTCCAACATATAACTGGAGCATGCATCTTTTTTCTTTATGGTGACACATGATCTAATATTTCAACACAGTCTGAGTCTTCTTCATGTTTCATGATGAAAATACTCATTATGTTGAAATATTAGTCTAGTTCTGTACTAAAGCTGCTAAATACTGTTTCAACAATAACTCTGCCAACATATCCATACATCTTATCAATAGAAATAATTTCTTATACCATGTGATTTTTTTTCCCTCACCTTCAGTCCACTGCGGCTCGCGTACTCTTTTCCACACTCAGCACAGCAGTAGGTTTTCTTCTCGGGACGAGACAGCGGAGATGGCAGGGTTGGGGCAAGGCTGATGGGGACAGAAGCCTCCAGTGCTTCACTTGGAGCTAATCCGCTAATCTTAACGCCTTCCACCCGGTCTTCCCTCCGGTAGGAACCAAAATGAAAGCTCTGACGTGTCTCCCTTACGAAAGTGGTAGTTTTCTGTGATGCACCACCTACTTCAGCACCAGTAGTTTCTGCCGTCTCCAAATTGGACGTCATTTTGGGATCGTCGTCAGGCACAGTCGCTGGGTCTTCCTTTGGTGTTGCTGGTGGAGGAGACAGATCTTTGTCTTCTTCCATGGGTTCTGGTGATTGGGGCCTTGGGGAGAGTGAGTCTGACTCCAAGGTTGTCGTTTCATTAACATTAGGAACATCTTGGCTCAAGGTGGGGTTAGAGGAGGTACTGGGACAGGCGTAAACAAAGGGGGCACCGAGGGCAGGTGTGCTTTGTAAGTCCTCCAGGTTTGAGCCGGAGCCAAGGAAGGCATCAGAGGAGGTAGATGCTTCATCCTCGCCACAGTCCACTACCATAGCTTTAGGTGACATTGTGGTTTTGGTAACAGTGGAAGAAATTGGTGATGGGGTGGATTTAGGAAGGTGGACTTCAGCACTGACTTGTTCAACTTGGCTGTCTTCGCCGACCGGGGAACCTTCATCTGTCTGCTGGGAGGCTGGCAAGGGGGCACTGAGGCAAAGGACAGGAGGGTCTGCACTGCCTGGTGGTGGAGTTTGTGTGGTGGGATTCATGAAGGGGTCAGGACTAAGGTCAGAGGGGGGGATTGGGTCTGGGCTGCAGGATGCAGACTTGCTGGGATTTTTGGTTAAATCAACCGATTTCATACTGCTAGAAACAGGGGCCGAGCCAGCTGCTGGAGTTTGAAATTGTGAGCTTGGGGCGGGGCTCTTGGAGTGACCAGCTCCAGGAGGTGTTTTACTAGAGACAATATTTGGGTCAGAGGACTGGGATTGAGATTGTGACAAAGGTTTAGCATCAGATTCGGCGGACAACGCATGTGCAGAGTCCTCTGTGCCATCCGGGGGCAACTGTCCGCCGAGGTGCATTCGGATGTGGTGCTGGAGCACAAGGGCATTAGTGAACTTACGCTGGCACAGCGGGCAAGAGTTCTGGACACGTGCATTTGGTGGTCGGGCATGATGGGTGGCCAGATGTGACCGCAGGCTGCCTTTGGTCGAGAAGGACCGTCCACATATCTTACATGGAAAAGGGCGTTCTCCAAGGTGTGTAGCCTGGTGCAGACGCAGCGCTCTGGGACAGCTCAGTACCCGTAGACACACCCCACATTGATTGGTTGCCAGGTTAGCAGCTGGACCTGTGATATTCAGTGATGGTAGCATGCCTCCCGCCATGGCACCTGCTCCATTGGTGCTCATGCCCAGGGCAGCAACCATCTCATGGGTGAAGTTTGAAACAGAAGTGGTAAGAGTAGAAGATGGTGGGGACGCCATGACATAGGTGGTAGAAGTGCTGGCATTTGTGAAACGACTGTTGGCTGAACTTGCTGAAGAGGTAGTGGTACCGCTAGATAACATCTCCAGCATGGAGGCGGAAGTAGAGGAAGACGTCCATGAAGAAGAGGAGCTGGGAGGAGCCTTCTCTAGCTTCTCCACCAGCCTCTGAAGCTTGGAGGTTTCAGATGTAGGAGTGGAGGAAGCCAGGGAGGATGGAGTGGTGGTGGATGGACCTGGGACTTTGGGAAAGGAAGAGAATGGGAAGGAGAGCTGAGAATGGCTGGAAGAAGCAAGTTGGAGAGAGCCCGCAGTGGAGGGTAGCGGGGTGCGTAGCAAGCCCAAGGCTGGATGGTTGTACAGGGATGAGTGTGCAGCAGGGGTAGAGGAAGAAGTGGAGACAGATGGGAAAAGGAACTTAGGCAGGTGGGCTAGCTGGGAGTAAGCTGCAGGAGAAAGCATTGGGGCATGAGGGGGAGTGTTCTCATCAAAGTGCTGCTGCTTGGCACCCTTGAATAATCCTGTGATGGTGGAAGACGAAGACAAAGAAGGGTTCGAGAGGAGGGAGGAAGCCAGAGAGGAGGTGGAGGCTGAAGAGGAGGAGGAAGAGTGGGATGAGCCAGAGGCGATAGAGACCGCAGCGGCTACAGCTGCGGCCCTATTCAGCTGCAGGAGGGAGTGGGAAATCAATGCCAGATCCACAGTAGGGGGCAGGGGTAAGGTGGAAGGGGCA